CAGGTAACAATTTATTTCTTGTCATTCTTAAGAACATTATAAATGGTTGAATACAAGATCTAAATCCTGGAATAGAAATCGTTGTCCTACGTAAACAAGGGCTTTTGAAAGTATTGTTTATGTTGCTTACAGGTGGAAGTAAGTGGTCATTGACTATGTAAAAGGTAGTAAAACTGAAGCAATTATTCAATTAATGAACTTTTGGAATCTTTTGCAGGACTGGAGACGAGAGCAACAAGAAGGTTACAAGCAGTCAGACTTGGCAAGCCAATGCGTTCACAGGTTGGATTCACTCGAATCTTCATCCTAGGCTTGTCTTTACTGTTAGTGTAATGTATTTAACAAACTAATTTTGTTATTCATTTTGAACTTCGTACAGATTCAAAATTTACGTTGAAGGATCTGCATGGTCCGTGAGCGAGAAATACATTCTGGGATGCGATTCTGTTACATTACTTGTGACGCCTCATTACTACGATTTCTTCACAAGAAGTTTGATACCGTTGCAACACTATTGGCCGATAAAAGAGAACGACAAGTGCAGATCGATTAAATATGCAGTCGACTGGGGAAATAGTCATGGAAAAGAGGTAATCTGTGTCTTGTAGAATTAGGGAGAAGAAAGAAGCTATGTTTAAAAAGAGGGCAAATTATAGAGACATCCCCTCGGGTTTATGACAATTTCATAGACACCCCTCACTTTTGAAAAATCATAGTAACCTCTCTTATTTCAAGTTTGAAATCATGCTTACTTCCCCTGAGGTTTATGGCAATTTCAGATACAGCCCTCACTTTTGAAAAATCATGGTAACCTCTCTTATTTCAAGTTTGAAATAATTCATACTTCCCCTGAGGTTTATGGCAATTTCAGATACATCCCCTCCCTTTTCAAAAATTACTCAAACTTCCTTGTTTTTGTTTGAATAATGCATACCTTTCCCAAGGATTACGACAATTTTAGAGTCATCTCCCTCCGTTTTTCAAATTATACTATCCTTTCTTATTTCGAGTAATGCATATGTCCGTTGATTACTTTTCTTTCGCATATTAGCTCAAATAATAGTGGTAATACTTAAAATTCCCTTTCAGACTTTTTTCTGTCTTGTGGTTCCTTTAACAATTATTTAATACTTAAAATTCTCTTTTAACTAACTAAATCATCAACAAAACATTATTTAGAATATCAATTCTTCAAAAACACATAAACAAATAATCTGGTTTGAGGTACTCAAAATACATTTACAGGTGGCAAAGTAATAAGCATAGTCAGAATATTATCATAATAAAAAACAAAATAATGGAATTTATTTTGACTATAAATCTACTACTCTATACAAAATATAACAAAATATGAAGTAAGGCATCTGCTGAGTTCATTTAAAAGGTATTTTAGGGATTACATAACCACAAGATGGAAGAATATTCATAAGGATATTTTAGGCATTGTCACTATAAATTATACTAAAATGTGAAAGAAAAATGGTCAAAAGAGATATGCATTATTCAAAACTTGAAATAAGGGAGGTTTGTATAATTTTCGAAACTAGAGGGGTGTGTCTGAAATTGTTATAAATTTCAGGGGAGGTATGTATTATTCAAAATTTGAAATAAGAGATGTTTGTGCAATTTTTGGAAAAGGAGTGATGTCTCTGAAATTGTCATAGGCATCGAAAAACATGCACGTTATTTCAAACTCGAGATGGGGATACATAATTTTTAGGAAGGAAGGGTCTCTGAAATTGTCATAAACCTTAGGGCGAGGTCTTTAAAAAGAGAGTATTTCTTTGGAATATAACTAAAGACTTACTCTTGAAAAGTTAAGTTTTGTGTTTAAATCTCAGCAAAAAGAAAAAGTAACTCCTGCCAATGGTTGAGCATGTTTGTCAAAAGTAGGCAACTTTTAAGATTGGCCTCAGTGGTGCATCTGATACCCTAATCATAATTAACTGCTAAACATATGTTGACATGACCAATACTTGAGCAGGTTCCAGAAATCAACATCACTCAAAAAAGCACACACCTAACACCCACAATTGCGAGAGAGAAGGGAGAAAATAATAGTTTGTTTTGCTTTTAAAACTTACCAATTTCTTGAATTGATTAACAGGCTCGGGCCATTGGCAAGGCAGCAAGCAGTTTCATTATCGAGGATTTGAAGATGGATTATGTATACGATTACATGCTCCATCTCTTGACGGAGTATTCCAAACTCTTAAAATACAAGCCTAGCGTGCCTCGAAGAGCAGTTGAGCTCTGTTCAGAGTCGATGGCTTGCCCTGCACACGGGGTCGAGAAGAAATTCATGACTGACTCGCTGGTTGAAGGTCACTCTTATTCGAGCCCATGCACCATGCCTCCACCCTATGATCCTGCGTCTCTTCATTCCGTTCTTGAGAGGAGAGAGAATTCAGTAAAGCAAGTAGAGACATGGGAGAAACAATACTGGGAAACTCAAAATAAGCAAATATAGAAACCTTAAAACTTGTAATGTTTTCGTCAATATTACACATAGATTTATCTTATGTTTGTAACTTGTATTGTTTATATACATGATCATAATCTATAAATGAATGACTTGTTTCTTTTAGTTGCATTCTCTCATGAAATAAAAAGCATCACAGATATTGAAAATTACAGAATGATGTGTTGTATGACATTATGCTGAACAGTTCACTGTAAATAAAAGCGATACAATCCGTGAATTACATAGTATTTTTTCGGTGTCTGAGGTCGGGAAGTGAAGCAGGGAAGGAAGTATTCAGATTGCTCGAGCTTTTACAATTTCGAGGCTCATTTCACCCAATCCTTTCATTTTAGGTCTGGCATGGAACTCAGAATTGCCTGTCCAAGTTCTCTGCAGGCCTCCACAGTGGAGCCGTGCACAAATTGACCGTAAGTTGTTGGGTTGCTGCATTTTGTGATGTGAGCCCATTTTTGTCAAGACTATTGAATTGAGCCCAAATAAATGGTCCAATATCATGACCCGTGAAGAAGAATCTAGAAGGCTGATCTTTTAATTCCAAAACATGTTTTTGACCATAAGGAGCGTTTTTTCTTTGGATCAATGACAAGTGGCAAATTGGTGGACGTTGGATCCTTACCTTTCATATAAATAGGAAGCCTCAGATTTTTTAGGATTAACGATTAGTATTCTGTGGTTTTTTCTTGGCTGCGTGCCTTTCATCTTCTCCGTTCTAATCTTGTGATTTCTTTGAAAATACTTAGTGTGATTTTGGGAGAATTGGTAGATAAACTCTTGTGTGAGTTCTACTATGGGAAGATTGTGTTGTATTTGTGATTTGGGAACTTTGTATTCTGTAACTTGATCTTTGCCTATTTTTGGCCGATTTAGTGGATTCGAGCTTAATCCTTATGGATGCTCAACGGGGGACTAAGTGTTAGAAGAGGTCGCTGAACCTCCGGGACTTTTTGGCCGAAAAATCTCTCGTGTTCTTATTTTCTGTTCTATTTTGAGAAAATTTAGATTTTTTGTGTTGAGTATTTTTGATATAAATTCGATTTTGGAACTACAGTGGTATCAAAGCTTGAAGTTTGTTTTTTTTTTTTTTTAAATTCAGTTTTCTCAAAACTTGATTTCTGAAACTCGAATCTCAAAGGGGGATTCGCTCGGCCTAAAGAAAACGAGCAGATCTGAACATTCGAAAATTTTTTCTTGGGTGCTTCTGTCATTATTTTTGTATATCTTCAAGGAGTTTTTTTTAATCCTGCAGTATTTCTTGCTAGTAGTTTTCTTTTAAAAGAAAAAGGAGGTTGGTTCGACTTGATCTACTCTACATTTGCCTTTGTCTTAGGTTCCTTAAGAGAACCCTAGAATTAGAGGAAATCCAGGGATTCCTCGATTCAAGAAACCAGAATGTCCAATTTTCTAAAATTCTCGTTAGTTTAATACTATGTGTATCTTTTATAACTTGAATTTATATTTCTTTATAAACTGCTGGATGATATTAACCGTGTGATTTTTCTATTATTATTATTATTATTATTATTATTATTATTATTATTATTATTATTATTTTGAACTTTGTGTTCAATTAGGAAATATTGCTCTTGTGAAGGTATACCTGTAGAGAACTTTCCTTTCTGATTACTTAGTGTAAGTATACTTTTTTGGCCCTATAATATTTCTGCATTGTATGCTATTTGGAATCCTTGTTGTTAAATCTTACTGCATTGTGATTGACATATACTGTATTGACTTGTGTGACAAATTACTGTACATATCACACTTGAGCACAATTCACATATTGTTGCTTACTATGAATTCAAAAGTAGATGTTTAGATTTGGGATGGCAAATGAGACTTTAGTCTCTGGCGCCAGAAAATTAAGGCCTTATTGTTACAATTAAAATGTGCTAAAGTTGTTGATGAATCTTGGCCTGAAAACCTACCTGAAAATAGAAAAACTAATCAAGATGAGCTAGCTTAGAGTACTATATTCTTACACTTATCTGACTCTGTAATCAGAAAAGTAGGAGAAACTAAGACTGCTGCAGAATTATGGACAGCCTTAGAAAAACAGTACCTAACTAAGTCTTTACCAAATAAATGTTTTCTATGGAGGCAATTCTTTAGTTTTAAGTTTGATCCTAATCTTGATACAGAAAAAAACATGGACAAATTTAATAAAATCACTCAAGATCTTATAAATTGTGAAGAAAAGATCTCTGATGAGCAAAAGGTAGTAGGTCTACTAAATGCCTTAGGGGACAAATATAAAGACATAAGAAATGCCTTGGAATATAGTAGGAGTGACTTGACGGTTGAAATTATCCATAGCTCTCTTTTGCATAAGGACCTAGAACTAAAATCTAAACGTAAGGAGGCATTTCATGTTGAAAATGCCCTTGCAAATCAAAAGTCTCAAACTAATGGTGTTAGTAATTTTAGTCAATCTAATCACAACAAGGACAGAAATTTTGTAAAAAGGAAATGGGCCAATAAAAGTAAAGGAAAGGACAAGAAATTTAATAAGACCAAGGCAAAAAACAAAAAGTGCTATTATTGTGGGAAGTTGGGTCATTTTATCAAAGATTGCTTTAAAAAAGCCAATGACCAAAAAAATAATCCCAATTTTGAGATTGGGTCATCATCCATGGCTATCCCCTACAAAGAAGCAGGAGCCAACATTGGGGTTGCTTCTGTATCTGTTACTAAAAGGACTAATCAGAACTGGGTTCTGGATTCAGGTTGTTCCTTTCATATGACTCCCAATAAAGGTTGGTTCTCTGACTTCTCTGACCTTAATGAAGGCTTTGTAAAACTTGGTAATAATGGATCATGCCAAATTAGAGGCATAGGTAATATCCTTCTGAAATTAGAATCTGGCAATTACTTAATACTGAAACATACAAGATATGTGCAAGCACTAAGTAGGAATTTAATCTCCCTAAGTGTTCTTGATGATGAGAATTATTATGTTGAAATCAAGAATGGTTTTTACAAATATAATCAGAGATCAAAAGCCCATTATTAGTGCCCCAAAATTAAAGGAATTTATGTTATTGACACTGAACCTAATCCAAAGAATGATCTTGTGAGTCTTGTTGCACATTCTGACAAGTCAGAACTCTGGCACAAGAGACTTAGCCATCTTGGTGAAAAGGGTCTAAAATCCCTCTCTCATCAAGGGGCTTTTGGAAAGGACAATGTTCAAAAACTAACCTTTTGTGAACATTGTATTTTGGGAAAACAGGTAAGGTTGCCTTTTAGGGTAGGTATACACAAGTCTCAAAATATTTTGGAATATATACACAGTGACTTGTGGGGTCCTACACCAGTGTCTATCGTGTGTGGGTATAGATATTACCTATTAATCATAGATGATTATTCCAGGAAGTCCTGGATTTTCTTGCTTTAATCAAAATCTGATACTTTTGTAATCTTCAAACAATGGTGTACATTAATTGAAAACCAAACAAGCAAGAAGATTAAGACACTTAGAACTGATAATGGGTTGGAGTTCTGCAGTACAGAATTTGATCAATTCTGTAGCAATCAAGGCATATTGAGACATAAAAAAGTTACCTATAGCCCCAGCAAAATGAGGTTGCTGAGAGATTAAATAGAACTGTTCTTGAGAGGACCAGGTCTAGGCTGATTAGTTCTAGCATGCCTAAAATATTTTGAGGGGAAGCTATAAAGACAGTCTGTTACTTGTTGAATAGATGCCTCTCTAGTTCCTTAGATAACAGAATCCCTGAACAAATCTAGTTTGGTTCTATGCCTGACTACTCCCATCTCAAAACCTTTGGTTGTACTGCATATGCACACCATTATGACTCAAAATTGGATCCTAGGCCACAAAAGGGTGTCTTCTTAGGATATGGAGAGGGAGTTAAAGGCTATAGACTTTCATTAAGGGATACTAGAGGTTATAAGGTGATAATAAGTAGGTTTGTGATTTTCAATGAGGATGAATTTCCATGTCTCAGTGACAAAACCCATGAAAACATAAAGGATGATGACCTTATTATCACAGAAATTGAGTTGAATAAGGAAAACACTGATGGGCAAACTCAGTTTGAGGTGGAGCAGCCTCAAACAGAGCTTAATGACATTTCATATGCTGAAATTCTGAATGATAACCAGGAATTAAGCCCAACACATGAGTTGCAAAATTATCAGCTTGCAAGAGATGGGGAAAGGAAGGAAATAAGACCTCCCTCCAGATATCAATATGCAGATTGTTTATCTGCTGAAACAGATTTTGACCCCTCTGATCTTGAACTTACCTCCTATGAGGATGCAGTACCTTGTAAAGAGTCATCAAAACGGATAGAAGCCGTGGATGATGAAATAAACTCTTTGCATAAAAACAAAACTTGGGAATTGGTTAAGAAACCTGAAGAATGTAAATTGGTTGACTGTAAATGGGTATATAAGATTAAAGAAGGAGATTCAAATATATCTAATAAAAGATATAAGGCAAAGCTTGTAGTTAAAGGCTTCACTCAAAGAGAAGAGATAGACTATACCAAAATCTTCTCACCTGTAGTTAAATATACCTCTATTAGAATTCTCCTTGCCATTGTTACTCAGTTTGATATGGAATTGAAGCAATTTGATGTAAAGACTGCCTTCTTGTATGGTTCTTTAGATGAAACCATATATATTACACAACCCAAATGTTTTGAGGTAAAAAATAAAGGTAATCTAGTGTGTCTTCTAAATAAATCACTATATGGCTTAAAACAAGCTCATAGGCAATGGTATAAGAGATTTGATTCTTTTATACAAGGCCTAGAGTTCAAGAAATCAGACTTTGATCATTGTTTTTATTTTAAGAAGAATAGTGATTCTGAATTCTTTTACCTCCTTTTATATGTTAATGATATGTTGTTGGCTGGTCATAATTCTGTTACATTTAATTCCATAAAAGAAAAATTGAAATTGGAATTTGAAATGACGGATCTAGGTCCTGCAAGAAAGATTTTAGGCATGGAAATTATAAGAGACAGAATAAATGAAAAGTTAATTTTAACTCAGAAATCTTACATTGAAAAAGTGGTTAAAAGATTTTTCCTTGAGGATGCCAAGTCTGTCAGTTTACCATTGTCTACTTGCATGAAGTTATCCGTTGAACAATCACTTAAGACAGAAGAACAATTTAAAAGAATGACAAGTGTGCCTTATGCTAATGCTGTTGGATCAGTTATGTATGTAATGGTATGTATTAGACCTGATATACAATATGCTGTAAGTGTATTAAGTAGATTCATGATTAATCCAGGTGAATTTCATTGGGAATGTATGGAAAACCTGATTAAATATTTGAAAGGGACATGTAATCTAGGACTTATGTTTAAAGCAAGTAAAGATGGTTTTATACTAAAAGGTTATGTTGATTCAGATTTTGCTGGAAACATTGATAATAGAAAGTCTACTTCTACATACTTTTATGTCATAAATAATACTTGCATTAGTTGGAAGTCACAACTTCAGAAAATAGTTGCCTTATCCTCTACTGAGGCAGAATATATTGCTGCCACTAAAACTGTTAAAGAGGGACTGCGGCTTAAAGAACTGTTAAATGAATTAGGTCATATAGAAAGTCAGGTGGAGTTATGTTCTAACAATCAAAGTGCTATTTTCTTAAGTAAAAATCCAGTTTTTCATGATAGGTCAAAGCACATTGATGTTAAATTTCATTTCATTAGAGATATAATTGATAAAGGTGATATTAAACTGATAAAAATACCCACTAAGGTAAATCCTACTGATGTTGGGACAAAGGTAGTACCACTTTGTAAGTTTTCAGATTGTTTGAGATTATTAAGTCTCGAAACTTGCTAATAATTTTTTTTTCAAGTGACTAGAGCAAATGAAATAAAAGACTAAGTTAGAATCCGCATACATGCAGGCACAAAATACAGTAAAGGTGGAGATTGTAAGTTGTTGGGTTGTTGCATTTTGTAATGTGAGCCTATTTTTGTCAAGACTATTGAATTGATCCCAAATAAATGGCCCAATATCATGACCGGTGAAGAAGAATCTGGAAGGCTGATCTTTTAACTCCAAAACGTGTTTTTTGACCATAAGGAGCGTTTTTTCTTTCGATCAATGACAAGTGGCAAACTGGTGGACATCGGATCCTTACCTTTCATATAAATAGGAAGCCTCAAATTTTTTAGGGTTAACGATTAGTATTCTGTGGTTTTTTCTTGGCTGCGTGCCTTTCATCTTCTCCGTTCTAATCTTGTGATTTCTCTTAAAATACAAAGTATGATTTTGGAAGAATTGGTAGAGAAACTCTTGTGTGAGTTCTACTGTGGGAAGATTGTGTTGTATTTGTGATTTGGGAACTTTGTGTTTTGTAACTTGATCTTTGCCTATTTTTGGTCAATTTAGTGGACTCGAGCTTAATCCTTATGGATGCTTAACGGGGGACTAAGCGTTAGAAGCGGTCGCTGAAACTTCGAGGCCTTTTGGCCAAAAAATCTCTCGTGTTCTTATTTTCTGTTTTATTTTGAGAAAATCTTATTTTTTGCGTTGAGTATTTTTGGCATAAATTTGATTCTGGAACTACACTAGCCGTGGCATGCCGGCCCATGAGATGGCGTATCACCAGCCGGACATTGCTTTTCACATTTCGGGTCAGGGTGATTCAACACATTTTGCATCTCTATAAACACGTGGTATTTTTTATATCTAAGATTAGATAGAAAACAACATCAAAGTAGTAAACAACCCTGTTGCTAGTGATACTATCTAATCATGTTCAGTACTATGTATCAAATATTCGTCGTTAGTTTATATCTCTATTTTATCAAATAGTGTGTGAAGAAAATGAACATGCATAAGTCGAGTTTTTATAAGAAATAGAACTTTTCCCAGGCAATACAGTAAATCTTCCTTTTCTGGAAACTTTTTATCAGTAGTAAAATCAAAATCAAAGATAGCATAGCGGCATTCATTTTAGCAGGCAGGGAGTTAGTGAAATCGTCGTAACTTTCATTCTCTACCACTACTTGTTGAACCTCTTGAACACAACGAAACGGTAGTGTCTCTTTGTTTTTAATGCCGAGAATTTTAGTTTATAGTCGTCGTGCACAGCCATTCCAGAAATAGTATTCGCCTGTCAAAGGAAACTGTAAACTGAAACAAGGAAGAATATACAAGCAATATCACTCAATAAACGTAATTTCTCAACTCTACGTTCAATGAAGAAGATGATAATCCTCCTTGTTTATGGCTTATGAAGGGATATCCCCTATTAAGACTCGGTTTATATATTGGCTAATATTTTCAAATTTAGTAGATTTGGGTTTTATCTTAACATGTTTCCGGAAGATATTTCATATCACAAATCTTGAAATCCGAATGTTCATTTGAGCTTCTAGATGGATCGAATGGCTAGCTTGAACATTATGAATTCTAATATCATATTAAGACTGATATCCCATCTAATAAAGTGAAATGTATCAAGAGGAATAACTTAGTATTTACATGTTGGTTAGTATTTTGATACATTACTGATAAAAGAGTAATAGTTTTCAAGTTGCTTCTAGTAAGTAGTGATTAACGAAGGCATTCTTGGAATTGTACAGACATATTTTTAATTCATATAGATTTTTCTGTAAAAACGTAGATCCTTAATCGAGAAAAAAAGGCACCAAACATTTTGAATTCAGAGATTTAAAAAATTGCATGCAATGAATAACTTTAAAAAACAAAGAGAAAGAAATAGGATTAACATGGTGTCTTGCAAATAGGGAAAAAAAAAGGTAGCAAAACAATGACGAGAAAGGAAAAATAAAAAATACAGAAAGAGCTATCTCATGTTCATGGATCATTGAGTGTTCAATATTGAGTGTGTTAAAATGTGAGAGAAATTAGGAGGAGAGAAGAACTTTTGGGGGTTAGGAATTGTCTTATTCTCTCTTCGGTTCATAATTTCCTCTTTTCTTGATCCACGTTATCATTGATGGCACATAGTGTAGGAAATTTGTTACCTTCATAATCACTGGATCTTTCATGTTGGATCATCAAGAATAAGTGGAAGTGTACCTGAATCAGATATTGTTAATTGCAATAGTTGAATCGATTTAGTCTTTCAAATCAACATGCAGCCGTTAACCCTCTCTGGTGATGGGAGGCAGAACAAAATGAGCAAATCTTGTGTGATTTGGGAACAATAACTGTATTTATATATTGACGACCTTTAACCTAATTCGGCCAATCATAGAATTAGGAACTTGGGCCCGATCTCTACACATAAAAGACCCACACTTTAATTGGATGCATTAAAACCCAAAATATCGAAACCTTATTAGATTACTTTTAAATGGGCTTAACCAAATTTGATAGTCTTTAATTTAATACACAATAATTCACACATATAAGTCCACATGATTGTTTAAAATTCCTTATAATCTCCCACTTGGGCTATATGTGTCGCCTTATAATTGTGCATTAAATATAACTTTATAAATACTTATAATTTTTCTAATATTATTGAATGCATTTCCAAACAATTCGATCCATCAATTATATCAACATAGGATCAAAGCGGCTTTCCCTACTTTCATCGTAACTAAACCTATCAATAGTCACGTATATCGATATAACTGAATGCATGGTTCAAACATGAATGTGTAGCATGAAAATTACATGTGATGTGATCTTAACATGCCTATTTTCAACTGATCCACCTTAATACCTTAGCGGGATCATTTTCAAACAAGTTCGAAGATAATAAACCAAAACTTTATAATTGAAAATAACTTTAACCATAAACCATATTCAAAATAACAGTACATGATATGAAACGCAAAAATATAAACTCCCACTGAAACTATTAATCCTAAAGAGATATTATACCCATATGAGTAGTGTGCTCATGAAAGACCTTGAGTATCAATCCCTTAGTAAGCGGATCCGTAATCATGGAGTTTGCCCCAATATGCTCTATTGACACCTGTACACTTTGAACTCTTTCTTTAATTGTCATGAACTCGATCTCTATATATTTCGACTTCGTCGAGCTCATATTTTTATTGGAATACAGTACTGCTGATTTATTGTCACAAAATATCTTGAGCGATCTTTCTATATTGTCCACAATGCTCAGCCCAGTGACAAAATTGCGTAGCCATATTCCATGGTTTAATGCCTCATAACACGCTATAAATTTCACTGCCATGGTGGAAGTAGCTATGAGTGTATGTTTAGCACTCTTCCATAAAATAACACCTCCAGCAAACATGGAAATATAGCCTGAAATGGATCTCCTACTATCTTGGCATCTCGCAAAATCGGAATTGGGATAACCGATGATCTCCAACTGATCCGATCTCCTATATGTGAGTATGTTGTCGTTTGTTCTTTGTAAATACCGTATGACTCGTTTGACTGCTTTCTAGTGATCCATTCCCAGATTACTTAAATATCTCCCTAACATTCCAACATTGTACACTATATCCGGATGCATACAAACTTGAGCATACACCAGACTCCTTATAACTGAAGAATAAGGAATCTTCTGCATTTCTTTAATTTTCAAGTCATTTTTAGGGCACTGACTTAAACTAAACTTGTCTCATTTAGCCACAGGGATGTCACTTGATTTACAATCGTACATGCCATATTTTTTAAACACCTTTTCGATATAGCTATTTTTTGATAATCCAAGAATACACCGAGAACGATCTCGATGTATCTGAATTCCTAATACAAAAGAGGCGATACCAAGATCTTTCATCTCAAAATTCTTTGCTAGAAATATCTTGATTTCGTGTAATAAGTCTATATTGTTGCTGGCAAACAATATGTCATCAACATATAAAATCAGAAAAATATACTTACCCCAACTGAACTTGTGGTATATGCAATCATTGGCCAAATTCATCTAAAAATCAAATAAGATGATCACTTGATGAAACTTGTAATACCATTAACAGGACGTCTGTTTAAGTCCATAGATTGATTTCTTTAGTTTACAAATCATTTGCATTGCATCATTCGATACAAAGTTTTCTGGTTGTACCATATAAATTATTTCATCAAAGTCACCATTGAGAAATGCTGTCTTAACATTCATCTAATATAACTCAAGATCGAAATGCACTACCAATGTCATTATAATCCTGAAAGAATCTTTTGAAGAAATCAGAGAGAAAGTCTCTTTATAATCAATACGTTCTTTCTCTGTAAAGCCCTTTGCGACAAAACGATCCTTATACCTCTCTACATCACTATTCAAATCCCTCTTGGTCTTAAATATCCATTTACAACCAATGAATTTCGTACCTTCAAGTAATAGAACGAGGTCCCACACGTCATTGTAATTCATGAACTTTATCTCTTCATTCATGTATCGAGCTACTTTTGAGAGTAAGACTTTCCATGGCTTGGCAGAAGTTGATCGGATCATCTTCCACCATTTCAATGTCAACTTTATGTTCGTGGAGAAATACGATGTAATCATTCGAAACTGCACTTCTCCTCTCTCTAGTAGATCTTCTTAATGGAATTGGTTCTTGAGGCTATAGAGTTTGTTCTTCTTGAACAACTTGTTGACCTTGAGAGAGAGATACAACATTATTTTGATTCGGAGTTGCTTCTTAAACAATGTCAGAGATAGAAACCTGATTATTGTCAATGGCAATTGGAGGAATTTCAAAATATTCCTTCTCAAAGATAAAGCTTGTAATCCTTTCTCCTCCCGCAAATTCAACATCCTCAAAAAATTGAGTATTTTCTATCTTGAAAATTACCTTACTTGTGGGATCATAAAACTTGTAATTCCTGGACTTTTCCAATAAAATAGCAACTAATAGTCCATGCGTCCAATTTATTTTCATTTGGCTTATAGGACCTTGCCTCAGCTTAATATCCCCAAATGTGTACGTGTTTCAAATTAGGCTTCTTGCCCATCCAAAACTCATAAGAGGTTTTATCAGTGGCCTTAGTTGGAACTCTGTTGAACATATAGTTGCGATTTTTAGTACTTTATCCCAAAGAGATTCTGGTAAGGTAGAATGACTAATCATACTCCTTATCATATCTTTAAACGTTTTAGAAACTTGGCAAATGATCCTGGACATTGTTCACCTGAACTGTCATATCTACCATAATATTACCCCTACGATCAGATCTGACGCTTTTAATCATTTTGCCGAGTTAGATCTCAACTTCAACTTTATAGTTTTTGCACACATTCAGTGACTATGATTTTTCATGAATGAGATATATATAGGCATATCTTGAAATGTCATCTATGAACATTATAAAATATTGTTAATCATTCCAAGAACACGTAGAAAATGGTCTACAAATATCCGTATGTATAAGTTCTAAAACGTTCAAAGTCTTGTTGGCTTGAAATCTCCTTTTATTGGTTTATTTTTCCTTTATACAGTTGACACACAAATCGTAATCTATGAAATTAAGAGAGCCAAGAATCTCATCAGACACAAGTCTCTCAATTTTTCTCTTTAAAATGTGACCTAATCTCTTGTGCCACAACGAGGCAGAATTCTAGTTGGTAAATTTTTGCTTTACACCTTGAGTATTTACATGCAATGATTCATTAAAAGAAACAATTATATCAGTTAAATAAAGATTATCGTAACCCGAGAACGAATCAGAACCAACCAATTTGAATCATGAAACAAACTAAATTTTTCATTCCCACATGAACAAGAATAACCAAATTTGTCCAATGCAGACATAGAAATCAAATTATGTCTAAAAGACGGTACAATAAATATCTCATTAAGATCCAAATAAAATCTAGTCTTTAATAATAATATAAATTTTACTATTGTTTC